AATTTATATATTATATATTATACAATTAAAGCTATTATATAAAAAATTTTCACTATATTTTAGCTTAATATATATATAATTCCTTATATTTAAAATTTCATGCTTATAGCTGTAGTAGTTATGAAAATGAGGGGAGTAGTTGTGTGTGGTTGTCACGGTATCCTCCCCGGATCCCAGACATAACTGTATTAGACGCGTACTAGAGTATTATTAGTGCACGTCTAACACAAACACAACACAACATAGATATAAACTTAAGCATAAACTACTTTAACACTAACTAAACCTAAAACAGGCTTAATTTATACTTAAAGCGCTTAGACTTCTAAGCTAAGTATTTAATTACTAATTTCTTTTTAAACTTTTTTATTTCTTATATAATATCTTATACTTACTATAATACTTTATGTAGTAATTAAACTAGACCTCTGTAAAGCTTTATAACCTTACTTATATATAATTATAATATTATGTTGTATTAAAACTTTAGCTAAAAATAGCCTCTAAATTTAATTTAATAAGCTTAGTACTTACATAACTCTAAGCTATTAAAGTAAGCTAAAAAGCTTTTTAAAAAGCACTTACTTTATAAAAAAGCTACTACATTATAAGCTTTAAAGCTTTTTAAAAAAACTTTAAAAAATAGCTTTATATTATTAAGCAGTTTATTTTTACCTTAACTTTTATTATAGTAGTAGGAACTAAGAACTTACTAGCTTTAAAGTTTACCTAGAAGTTTAAAAATAGCTTAACTTTTTTCTATTTAACACTACTTATAACTTATAACTTTTCTAACTTAGTAATAAAATCTAACTAACTTCTTAATCCTCTACTATTTAATAAAAAATAAAAAAACTTACTTTTTTTTCTATATAAGCTTTAATATAAACTTAAAGAAAATATAGACTAATTTTTTTTTAAATGCTTTTAGTTACTATATGCTTACTTTTAACTTAACTATAATATAACAGCCTTAATTAACTTACTAATAAATAAAAATATTATTAACTTAGATTAATTTATAGCATTTTTATAAGTAACTTATAAAGACTTAAATAAAAAGTTAATAGCTCTAAGTTACCTAAACACTTTATAATAAAAAAAAAAAGCTTTACTTTATACTTTACTAAGTTCTACTAACTTACATTTAATATAGGCCTAAATAAGATAGGTCTAATTATAGCTTTATATAACTTCTTCTTAACTAAACTATAACATGCTATAGTAGAAGAACCCCTTTTAAACAACTTTAATGTGTATGCAAACCTAATTGCTACCTATAATAATAACATAAAGTTCCTCTTTATATAAGCCCTAATACACCTCTAAACTAGTGTAGTTGTAAATAAGGACCTTAATATAATAAAAATTAATTTAAATTATGCTCTAGTTAGTTTTAAAAAGTGTAAAAATTATAAAAAAAAAGTTAATGCTTTAAGTATAGTAAGCATAGTTATATTTTTTAAAACTACTTTATTTTTCTTTTTTAAGTCTACATAAGTAGTGCTGCTAGTATTTATTAAAGATTTTTACTATTTTATTTTTATTTTTATAAGAGCTTTAACTTATATTTAAGCTTTAATTCTTCTTACTACTTTTAACATAGCTGCAGCTATAGTAGTAAGAGCCTATAAAAAGGCTTATTTTAGAGCTAAGTTGCCTTCTAAGACTAATTTAACACTAGATCTTTACTAACTTATAAGCTAAGTTCCCTACTAATAACTAAAAATACTAAGTTAATATTCTTATATATTTATAATAAAAAACTATATTAGCCTTAATATAGGCTCTTATTAACTTAAAAGTAAATAGTATAGGTTACATTAATAAAAAACTAGCATATAAACTAAATCTTTAATTAATACTACTTACCTAAATAATTTACTTAACTAGATTTAATAAAAAATAACTTAAAAAAAGTTTTATTTTTTATACTATAACTATTATAATTACTTACTAACACTATAAGAAGTAGATTAAGCTCTATGTAATAAACATAAAATGTTATAACTTAATTTTAAAATAACTATAGCTATATTAGCATAAAGTTACTTTTAACGTACTTCATAGGCGAGTTGCTCACACACCTAAGTTGCTTACTTTTGCCAAGACCCTACTAAACCACCCTTCCTACACTAATGCATTCCCCATAACACTACTTAGACGCGCTAAAAGAATGTTAGATACAGCTTACGCTCTAAGCTTTTAAATAAGACATAAAACTCTTAAAGAAATGTGCTATAGCTATGTGCAGAGTCCTATAAAAGATAATAAATAACTATAACACTAGACAACCTTTATAAGCTAATTCTACAGCTAAATTACAGAGGCTAGGTAATAAAAAGAAGCAGGTAATTATTAAGACTATACTTAAGCTATATGCGCAAGGAATTTCCCCTTAGATAGTATTTATAGCTAATATAGCTAATTCTTTGCGCGCTAAGCGTAATCTAGGCTATGTTTATATAAACTAGCCTAGTACGTTTGTGAAGCGTTATTTAGAGCTTAAAGTAATGTTTAAGTGTAAGTATAACTATAAGAGAGCCCTCTGCAAGAGTCCTAGAGTAATTTAGAGCAGGTTTAGCCTTATAGAGAATATTAAAGCTAAGTATAGCATCTAGGATAATAACACATATAAGTTTAGCAAGATAGGGTTTATAATTAGCTAAATATCTTTTAACTATACTTACGCTTAAAACTTTACTTTAAGCTCTAAATAACGCTTTACAAACATACTAGGCTAGTTTATGCAAACATAGCCTAGATTACGCTTAGCGCGTAAAGAATTAGCTATATTAGCTATAAATGCTATCTAAGGGGAAATTCCTTGCGCATATAGCTTAAGTATAGTCTTAATAATTACCTGCTCCTTTTTATTGCCTAGCCTCTGTAATTTAGCTGTAGAATTAGCTTATAAAAGTTGTCTAGCGCTATAGTTATTTATTGTTTTTTATAGGACCTTACACATAGCTATAGCACATTTCTTTAAGAGTTTTATGTCTTATTTAAAAGCTTAGAGCGTAAGCTGTATCTAACGTTCTTTTAGCGCGTCTAAGTAGTGTTGTAGGGAATGCATTAGTGTAGGAAGGGTAGTTTAGTAGGGTCTTAGCAAAAGTAAGCAACTCAGGTGTGTGAGCAACTCGCCCATGAAGTACGTTAATTACTAAAAGTAAGTTTTAAACTTTAACTTTTTTTAATACTAAGACATATACTTATGCTTACACCTAAATAACACCTAAGTAGCACTTAATATAAAAGGTTTTTAGACTTACTTTCTAATAACTTAGAAAAAAACTACTTAAGTAAGGCTAATAAGCTAGGCCTTTTACTAAAATAAGCTATATAAAATAATTTAATAACTACTTAAACTTAAAGAAAAAAAAGCTTTTAAGAAATTTTTACTTACTTAATTTAAACATAAACTAGGACTTAAATAGTAGATAGACATCTACTACATAGAACCTACTTTATTTATAACCTTAGCTTAATAACTAGATTATAAAATCTACGCAGTTATAATTTCTAATATAGACTAAGCTTTAGCTTTCTAAAAACGCACTAACTTAAAAATAATAGTTTTTTAAAACTACTACAACTTATTACATATCTTTTTTTAAAATAAGTCTAATAAGCTTTTAATATAACATCTATATAATTACTAAATAACTTTTAAGCCTAGTAAATAAC